TACGTTATAAATAATTTATCAAACACCATTTCAGATTAGCCTTCCATGCTGAGTTATTTATTTTAGCCTTTACTGTACTATTCCTAAGGCACGGTTTGAAAGATCCATTACTGGTCAGTTTAATGAACTTGGGGGTCTGTTTTCCCCCCCTCAAGCACTACGGTACAGCTGTGGTGACCATTACATGGCTGATCTGGACCTCTTTGTGCCTTTTACAAGTGCTGCCCATTTGTCATGTAGTGGTAAATGGAGTTGCACATTGGAGTCCTGGGACACATTGTGTGATGTAGTGATGGAGACAAACAGATAGCTCTATAAAGTGCTGCTTGTCACCGCTGACTTGTATTACAGTACATCACTCTTACTGTAATCTCATTTAAGAAGCAGTGTGGACCCGAGAGAATGATATTCCCAGTTAGCTTGGTCTTTGCAACCATAAAGTAGGAAGCGCTCCTTTTATATACTCTGAACTTTTAGGGTTTTTTAGATTAATTATTACAGTGACTCATTCATGCCACTGTAGTTAAGACTGTGTCAGCATTTTCATTATAACCCCCTATTTTCTGCCCATAAAAATCTCCGCTCCTTGCTAGAACTTTGCATGCAGGGTCTCTGCTGCGGAGAGAGGTTTTTCACAAGGCCGTTCTGGTCATCTTTCTAAATCACAAAAATGGGAGGAAAACAATATTTCATTCGCATTTGGATTCTGATTTAATTAAAATGACTTCATTTTAATGAAACGGGTCCAACTATTGCAGGTTATGGTCCTCTGGCGTTTAGTATTCTGAGACTATCTTAATTATAACAGACATCTACCAGACAGAGATCGCTCGGCTCCGCTGGGTTTTTAAAAAGTATTTTGCTAACAATAGTGTAATGCGTAGGCTGCATTTTAAAAAGAAAAAAGTGCCAAAATGCTTATTTACTTAACACGCCGAGAGGACCGAAGAAAGGTTTTACATTAAAAAACCCAAAAGAACAACCCGCAGCTCTGCTCAGATTAGCAAAGGCCAAGACCGTTAGGAAAACTGCAGCAGGTCGGTACCACAGGCTAAGGACAGTGCGGCTGTGTTTCTTGACCCATTTATAATGTTTGCCTTTTGATTTTAAAATTTCATGTTGGCTTATCTTGGAGTTTAAAACGTGTGTGCATGCGTGTGGTCTTGCCCAGAGAGAACTGAAACGTCCCTGTCGTGCCAGGAATCCGGGCAACAAACTTATTCTTGCGCCAAGCCAATAAACTCGCTTGCCCTGGAAAACGCAGCAGAAAGGCGCAGAAACGAGCGGCTTGTTTGTTCCGAGGGGACGTGCGAGGTGCACCGAACACGCTTCGAGATCGCATCGGGGGAAGCAGGAGCGAAGGCAGAACCCGCGTGAGCACAGCTCTCTTGGTCAGTGCCATAATAAAGCTGTGAGAATAGGAACACTGCTAATAACAAGCTCTTCTTCGGAGGGCCGCTGGAGGACGCGAGGTATGCGCCGGGAGCAGACGTGACTGTAGCCGAGCTGCTTTGGGGATCCTCTGGAGCTGCACTTGAGCGCTGGGGCTCGTGCAGCTGCTGCCTGAAGCTGACGGCAGTCCAGGAGCGCAGCACATCCCCTGGAACGGTTATCTTCACGTGGCAGAGTAGGAGAGAGGTTTGAGGGCTTCACGTGACGTGAACAGAGCTGCATTTTCCAAAGCCAGCTTTGAAAGCTAGCTTGCCCTTGCACTCGGGATTTCCCGTGGCAGCGAGTCGGCTATTCAGATTAATACATCCGAATAAAAGGGGGAACTGGAACTTCCAAGCGTCCTCGCCCCGTTAGGCCTCGGTGGGACAGGAGGTTAGCTCGAGACCCTCGCGCTGGCACACCGCGTGGCTTGTGGTGCTTATTGCAGATGAGAATAAATCTTTCTGTTCTCTGTTTCTTGCCTTAATTCATACGTAGCGCGTGGTCCTAGCAGAAGACTTGTCCTTAATGCCGAAACGAACACGCAGCGTGCTAACCGGTAGTACATGAACACTGACAAGGGATTGCTTTGATTTTTCCATCGTCTAAAACCTTTAAGAAAACAAACCGTGCAAGATGGAAATGGTGTGACTTGCTCGTTCCGTCGCAAGTCGGTACACAGCGTGCTCGTCGTACCTTGCACGCGATCTTTTTGTCCTCGTCTCTGCTCCTCTGCCCAGCTCGTTCTGCCAGGCAGTGATGAATTCACTTCAGAGCTGGTGGTGGGCAAGAGACCGCTCTGTTGCCAACCGAATATCAGTTGCTAGATGAATTTTTGCAAACTGCTCTTTTTTCCGGGGAGTTGCTTCTGAAGGTAAGGGGAGCGAATGATCCCTTGAGCTTGGCCAGCGAGCAGAGATTAACAAGCCAGCCATCGGATACTTTCAAACAAAAAGCAGGGCCCCCAAATTCTTGTCACCGCAGCATCTGGAGTGGCTTAATCCCTCCTGTCACAGTTTAAAGAGATTAAAGAGAACCAGTCCTAGCACGGTGAGATTTTTTTTTCCAGGCTAGGAAATCAATTAAAAAACACATTTCTTGTAAATCTCATGGCAGCCAAAGTAGCTGAAGAGTTTTTAACCCTGACTTCTCAGTACCGTTTGTTTGCTAACATAATGCTGTCGGTCTTTGAATAGGCTTTTCGCATGGTTCGTGGCTTGCTTTCTGACCTCCGGGAAACGATGGCAAATGGATAGGCAAAGCACGTGGACTCGGGGCGCAGCAGGTTGTCGCTGTCCTCCCGGCGGTCTGTGCCTGTAAAGTATTCGTATCCCACCCCGTTTCTGCAGTGTGTGTTGCTGCTTTAAAGCAGTGGCTCTGACCCAGGGATCTGGAGAAGGGTTGGGTGGCTCTTCCCTGTCTTCCAGCCCTGCTTACTCGCATCTTTTGAAGTTTAGGAATAAATGTCTTGTTCTCTGTGAAAGCAATTGCTGGTTGCTTCGGGGAAGCTGACCTGAGCGGGAGGGAAGGCAGGGGCCCTGCGGTCGCTAGCGGCAGAAGGTGATTCACGAGAGGCTCCCGACGTGCGGTCCACACTGAACCCCTTTTCCAGGGCTGTGTGCTGGTGGACCGCTCCCCAGCTTTGAGCCACGTCTTCAGCTCCAACGTGTAATTGAGGAGTTGTTGTTTCCACAAGTTTGAGATAGTTTGAAAAGTGAATTGCAATGCTCCGGGTCTGGTCAGTGGTTCTCAGTCGGGTGTTAGGTTTTATTTCCGATACGGCGCTCTCTGGCTGGGTCTGTAGAGGGAGCTAATGTAGCTGTAATAGCCTTCCCTTTTTTCTGCTGCAGGCTACGGAGAAGCTACTATAATGAGGATGTGATGCACCTGGCTTCAAAAATATGATTTCTGTAGAGCAAGTTATGCCCTGAACAAAGTAATTTTGTGAAGGGTTTTGTTGTAGGTGTGTATAGACTTAGAGGTCTATTGTCATATACTCTTTAGTGGGGGGGGTTGACAGGTTTTCTTATAGAAGACGCTTATTTGAAGATCCCTGTGCAGCCACTGGTCCAATTCTCAGAACTTACTGCGGTCTCTGCCCGGTCTCCGGCATACCTACCGTGCAGCGGTGAGCAATTCAGATTTCTGAGAAACGGGGCAAGTCAGACGCTTGCACTGTGCACATCTAAGGAAATGCGCATCCTTGCTGTAGAGAACAAACTATTTGTATTAGCAGCGCTAACTAACCAAAGAGCTGTGCCCGTGTGACAGATAGCAGCCTTTGAACTTATGCAGGACTCGGCACTGCACGGCTTCAGCCACGTTAAGACTTGTCGTCTTGGGTGTACTAGGAAACGGCAGGGCTAATTCGGAGTCTAGACTTCCTTCTTCACGTGGCGTGCTACGTCTGTACCTTATTTTTAAGTGGGCTCTGGACATTACTGCCACTCCTGGGAGCCTGTTTAACTAACGTACGTGCTGTACTTCGGGTGCCGTGTCTACTGCGTGTACGGCCTGTGGAATCCGCGACTTGCGGACTATCCGCAGTTCCAAATATTTGATTTTACAGTTCTGAATTAGTAAATATATATGCTCTTCTCTGATGGTTTCTCTAAGGCTTGCCATGCTCCCAATTCTTGCTCTGTTGCCAAATTGAGTATGCAACAAGACTCAAAAATCCAAAAAGCAGCCAGCCCAGAATGCAGCGTTCTGACTAATGTCTGCTCTTCTGCTTGCACTGGCTGTTCGCTAGGCCCCCTCGTAGCTCCCTGCTTCTGTACTAGATTGGAATAAGAAAATACTAGCCAGCTAACTACCGTTCAGTCCGGATCCAGACTCTGCTGTAAGACGGCTGCCGTTCAGATGAGCAGAATACATTTTGCAACCCAAGTTGGCTATGTTACGAAATCATACAAATCATTTTAGTGCCATAGAGGATGTTTAAATAGTCTCTACCCAGGGAAGGCTTGTAACTAAAGTAGTATGGATCTTTGAATTAATTTGTATGCAAGTGTTACACAGAGGACACTACAGGGAAACCTGGATTGCAGACTACCGTGCACACATGTATTTAAGGCTTGGAAGAAGACGGCCTTAATGAACACCAGGCTTTTTCCTCCCCTTACAGCTTCAGGTCTTGCCTTTAAGGATTTTCCCCTGCCATCTTCGTCCGAACGGGTCCAATACCGAACCCGTAGGAGCAGACTCATGAAGAGATAACCATGACTCAGTAAACTGATTTTCAGGCTCCACAGTACTTTGCTGGTAGGCAGGAGGCAGAGACAGAGATCCTCTGCAAGATGGCTTAAAGATTTGCACAGCAATGCATGCCTCCACGTGATGGTGCCAGCGATCCAGCTGAATCCACCCCAGGGCAACCGCCTCTAGGCCGTACCCCCCCCTCTCGTGATGATTCATTCTGTTCTTCTGCGCACGTCTCTGTTAGTTTTCCCTTTTATTTAACTAACGAAATGACAGCGACGGCAACTTTGCCATCTAGTGCACTTTGCAGCACAACTTGCACATTTACCGGAAGGACTAAACAATGGTCTCTTTTTTTGTCTTTCCAGGAAGAGGAAGCCAAGCAGCTTGTGCGAGATGCCATTGCAGCTGGCATATACAATGATCTGGGCTCTGGCAGCAACATTGATCTCTGTGTTATAAGCAAGAACAAGTTGGATTTTCTCCGTCCTTATGATGTAGCCAACAAAAAGGGGGAAAGGTTAGTACTGCTGAGGCCTTGTCTTGTCCCTGCTCTCCTAGACTTGCACACCATTCATATGATGCTTTCAGGCATTTTACTGCTGCATTCCTAATTTGCAACACATTGACGATAGCTCAGATTTCTAGATGATGATTGAGTTCTGCCTGCATCGCTGAGCAGTCTGTGTCCTGCCTCACGCTAAGTACCTGCCGCCCGTGGATGTGTCGGTTGCCCGAATTGCGGTGACACCGAGCACGAGTCTGGAAGTCACCATCAACAGGCTTCACACTTTAGTCGACCGGGACAGGGGGAGGGGACGGGCTGCTGCAGAAATTTGAAAGCAAAACCAACCACACAGGCGAAGCGAGTTGAAGGGTGATGCAAGAACTCTCGAGAAGGAATTTTATTTTGCAAGCTGTAGATGCTAGCACTTGAGCTGTGGGAACCCTGGACCTTTTGGCTAATCGGAGACTGGACTGGGGTTCCAGGCGCTCGTTTCCTGAGCCCCCAGGCTTGCAAACGCAAGTGCAGCATGGTCCTCCTTCCACCCGGGGCTGGGAATCTGTCGAGTCCGAGTGGGGTCAGACTCTCGGTGCACATTACTGCGAGTTTCACAGGTCAGCCTAAGTCTAGCCTAGGGAGTCAGAAACGTAGTGCGGTGCAGCACAGCTCGTCATTAGCCATTGCACAACACCTCGTTGTGGGCACAGAAAAATGACAGCGTAGCTCTGATTTGCTGGTACTGTGCTGTGATTCAGTCTGTCGCTGGCCATGCTCTTGCACAGTGCGGTCTGACCAGGGTGTGGGGGAACATGCTGTGCACGAGATGATGTGCACGTGCTCAGCAGTCTTGCTCACTAGTTTTCCCTATAGCAGAGAAACTCCCAGAAGCGATCAGAAATGGTTGCAGGGAGCGTCCGTGCGGTTCACGGTTACATTTGGTCCAACCAGAACATCTTGCATTTGCCAAATGTAATTCACATTTAGCATTTAAATAATAAATACCTTCCCGGCCATAAATGTTGCGGGGTGTCAGTAATTCATTCTTTTCCCATGGAACATCCCTCTCTTGACCTTTTCATCATGTAGAAACTTGTGCTATTTATGTTCTCCAGCTCTTTAATTTGGCAGGCCACAGCGAGAGACAGATTCCTGCACAGCCCCTTCTCACTACACAGTTCTTGCTGTTCAGTTCTGCAGACAACAAGGAAAGGTTGCCGGCAGAACTTGCAGATGTTACAAAAGATGTCATTTTTACTGCAGCACTTCCTTCCTTTAAAAGGCAAAGCACATTCATCCCAAATGCAGAAACCTCCAAGAAGAAAAGGAGCGAAGCAGGGTGGTGGTGGTTGTGCTTACTAGCAGTGCGGCTGCATAGTGCCATCAGGAAATACTGGGAATGTTCAAGTCACAGAAGTGTTGAAATTCCAACATGAGCAAGTCGGTGTGTCGGCTTCGCTGGGCAAGGGAAAACCTGAAAGGTCAAACTGCTAAGCATGTGGAGAAGTCTCCAGCAAGCGGTTGCCTAATCAGTGAATCAGCCCTGGCAGGCAGCTACAGGATTTTGCAATCCGTACTTCTGCATGGCGCAAGGCTACAACGCTGCCATGAACTAGCGTGGCTTTGCCTTAAAGAGGTGCTCCCAAGTCTGTCAGACTCTGCCCACTACAAACCTGCACGGGCTCGAGTGAGACGCGTTTCCATGAAGTCTCTCTAAGCTGGAGCCTGTTGGTGTAAATTCAGTCTGGGGGACACGTCTGTAACTGAATAGCGGGGAAAACGATTGTTTCATGTGCGTGTGATGTGGGGCCATGTCCGCACGCGGATCCTACATGCAGAGAGTCACCAGATTCACCGTTTCAGGTTTGCTTAGTTTTTTAGAAATCCAAAGCTACAGCATGTAAAGGAAATAAGGTGTCATAAATGGCTTTGCTTCTGGACTCTGAAGGAGATGGTGATCTGAGCACAGGCCACACACTGAACTAGCAGAAATTGCAGCTCTTCTGAAAAGCAGCACAGCACTAGATTTATTGTTAAAGATCGCTTTCTGGCTGGTCTGGTGGTTTCTCTCCATTTAAATATCAAAGTGTTTTCCTGGACCTTCAGCATTCATCTCTAGGTCGATTGCCACAATTGCTGAAGAGGGATGTTCTCTTTAGTCTAGTAAGGCTGACTCGTGACAGGGAAGTTTAGGGTGTAACCAGAGGAAGTTCCCCTCTATTGGACATTCTTTCAAATTAACGTCTGACTTTTCTTCAACAGGTTTGGTAGATACAAGTGCGAAAAAGGGACTACAGCTGTTCTCTCAGAAAATGTCGCTCTCTTGGAAATTGAAGTGGTGGATGAAACCGTGCAAACAATGGACACTTCCTGAGCGCTCGTATGTGGTATTTCTGTAACACGGTTCTAGTATTAGGTATGCTTTGGTTTGTATTAGAAACCTTTCTGCATGACAAGGAAACACAAATCGATATCAAATAAATGAGTGCTGACCAGTTCACTCACTCCGTTTTCCATGCTGTTGATGTTTGCTGCTTTTCTGTTTCTTACCTGATGAACGAGTAAGGCTCACACAGAACTGGAGCATCTCCTGTGTACATTGAATTGCGATGGCCCGCGGCACCCTGTGTAGCACCACGTACAGCTAGCTGGGCTCTCCCCTCGTGGTAATAGCAACAATTTGTCTTGCTCTGAACTTCTGCATTGAGAAGACCTGGGGAAATACTGCGTGTGGCTGATTCCTTCTCTGTTTAAGGTGCCGTTGCATATCTATTAGTTCTGTTATTCGGCTGAGATGCTTCCTCTAGGCTTGGGTGGTACTTTGCGTAGGGCTAACACGGGGGCTTTTTCACTACCTATTACAGGCCTTTGTTTTCCAGGAAGGCATTAAAATGTGTGAAATTGTAGAGGCTTGGCCTTGTGGAGAGAGGGCGTAACAGGTGCCTTATCGAGCGTGTTGTGACAAGCTGGTCTAAAATTGATCAGGCTGCTTCAGGTGTTGATCTGCACTGCTCAGAGGTGATAAGCAGGCAAGCTACTCACTGCAGCCTGGACAGGCTCTCGGTACAACGTGGGTGGGAGGTCCAGACTCCCAGGCCTGGGTAAACTGACTTGTTTCTGGTGTTTAATGTGAAAATGCACAGGGAGCCGTTGCGGTGACAGCGGGTGAACGGCCGCCCGGAGTTTTCATAAGCCAACCAGCCTCGCTACTAAGCCAAGGGCTTGGCCATGCTCTGCCAGGAGGTGCTGAAGGGCTAAACTGAGCTGAACCCAGGCGCCTGACTTCCACACTTCCCAACCCGGGAAACTAGCTGCTGCTGGTCTCTGGGAGCTCTCCTGTTGGGCTCTCCTTCCAGAGGGGTAAATTTACACCGCGTGACATTGCCTTCAAAAATGCCTCCCCTGTGTCCTGCTCAGCTGACCTAGCTTTGTTAACTAGCCCATTTCAGGGTAAGTTGAACCTGATGTGTAAAGCATGGCATCTAATAGCTAAGGTCACCAGTTGGAAACCAGTTTTGTGCGTGCAAGAAAATGTTACTTTTCTTGCACTAGAAAATGCAACACTCCCGTAACAAGCGTGTTGTTTAGCGCTGGCCTCCTTGTCCCATGCACAAAGAAAGTCGGTGATTTTGTAAATCATTGTTTTATTTATCTAAAAATGCACAGTTGCAAAAAGTTACCTGTTGAAATACATTTACTCATAAGCACTAATAGATTTTATGTAGCAAGAAAGTGACCAGACTGATGGAGACACTCGAACTCCGGTTCTACGTTACACCCACAGGGGCATTGGCACAACCATGTCTACGACTGTAGTTGGTTTAAAGGAAACCTGCAGTGTAAAGGCAGCGATTCATAGCCTGAAATACAAGAATAATGAACCAGAACCTGGGTCGTGGTAGTTTCTCAAGAGCTTTGCATGGGAATGGCAGGAGGGTCCTAGCGTCTCTCCTGCGTTCTCATGCCGATCTGCATTTCCCGGCTTTCAAACGAGCGCCACGGGCTGGGCTTCCTGCTAGGAAGCGTCAAGAAAAAATGGCATCTTCCATTAAGTGACACCAGCATCATTCACAGCAATTAATACCTTTTCTGTTAAAGCACTTTCAATCAAATTTCTAAATGTTGATCTGAGGTGTTAAATTGGCACTGCAGTTTTCCTTTAAGTGGTGAAAAAAATCCATTAGGAACATGTTGCAGGTACGGTACCCTTTTACCCCAATTTGATTTCCAAAAGACTAATGGTTGTGTGGTTTTCTTAAAGAACAAGGGTGCCCTGGCACCCACGGCGGCAGTAAGGCACGTGCCGCACGGACGGAGCCGGGGAGCAGGACGGGGCCTGTTCCCCCGCTGTCGTCCCTCCGAATAGTAAGTGCAGCACTGAGTCCCTGAAGAGGCAGGTGAGACAGAAACACTTGAACGTGAATCCGTACGTTCTGGTTTTAAAGCAGTGAGTACTTTTCCTTGACAGTAATCATTGATTCAATGAATGAATTTAGTTGACTGAAAATTTTCATCTATTAAAAAAAAAGGAAAAATTAGTCTTTTTAAACAAGCTGTGTCCTTCAAATCGGGTTGCGTTTTCCAAAGAAATTCACATTTTATAACTTAGCTTTCACAGTTAGATAGGTATGGTTAGAATTTCACTTGCACAAAGAATCTGACTTCTTTCAGGCTAAATCTAATATCCCTATGTTTCAGAGAGGTCTAAAACACTGCTTTGCTTTCAGTTTTACTGAAGTGCCGTTGGATTTGGTAAAAGTCTCTTCCCCAAAATAAAACTGGCTTAGAGTAACACTGATTCATAATAAGGACTTTGAGTCTAACTAGATCAATGCCAAAGGGGAGACAGCTTAAAAAGATAAATTGCTTATGGAAGCAATGTTTTTCAGGTACGTGCTAAAGCCACCGCATCGGCTATAGCCAAGTTAACAGATAAATGCATCAGCAAAATGTTCACTCTAAATTTTCAATTACAAAAAAAAAATCTTCAAACAAATGCTCCCTCCTCCCCACTTCCTGTTTGCAAAGGAGGGAATTTAAAAAACACATAACTGGATGCTTTAAAAATATATGAACTAAAAACTGAATTTGCTATTAACCAGGTACAGAAGAGGCAAAGTAGCAGTTATACAAATTACACAAAAATCTACCGCAATTCTTACATTAGTATAAAGTGATTTCACTGAAGGAATTGTTTCAATATTTCACATTACAGTTAAGATAGAGGGGGTGCCGCAAATGCTCACTGAGACACCCTTGTTAATATAATCTATCCTAGATTACACACAACAGTTAAGAAAGGACCCTTAAATGATCTACATCTGTAACATTATTGGCTTAAAAAACAACAACAACAAAACACTTGCAATACCTCACAGAATCGTCACTTTAAAGCATGACCACCGTGTAAGAGTCCTTGTCAAATAACCTGCAGAAATAATGGAGCATCTTGCTATGAGTGCTCAACTCTCTCACTTGAGTGTGACTAGGCACCAGTCGGTTTCATCTGAGAAATAAAATTCAAGTAAGACTAAGCTGTGATGGCTTTTCTTAGAGAGCGTTTGCAGATGCTTCAAGTGCTGGAGGTCCAAACATGCATCTGTTTTGCTATTTGGTGCACGTAACCGATGTCAGGCCTCTGACCCGGATCAGGGTATATGCACATGCTGACCAGTTCCCGGAGCTGGAAGGAAGGAAGGAAAGAGAGAAGTCGTGAAAGTGTGATCCTCGCCTGTGCCTTTTGGACACGGGGAAGGGACAGCTGCCGCTGCGCTCTCCCCCCACACCCCGCCAGAACGATTATGGAGAAATCGTGATCTATGTGCCGGCTTTTCCTTCCTGTCTAGCTTAGTCATCACCCTTACAATCGGGCCGCGTCACCCTGCTCTTTAAAATGTTCCAGTCCCCTATAGCAAACTTCAGCGAGGGTGTTTAGAGTACGCTACCGTCTCGCATAGTTCACAACACAGCTATGCCCCGTATAGCAACCGAGCGGTTCGACAGCTACACTGGACATTTTCTTAGCCAAAGAGCTAGAAAGCTCTTACAGAAATAGCGTTAAAAAGACTTGAAATCAAGGGCTGAATGAGTCAGAGCAGGGGGTGGCCAGTCGGAGGCAGATGGCTGACTGAGAGGAGTGTACCCGAAGGATGAGCCGCACTGAGTCATGAGTGGGAGGAGGTGACGGTGAGTTCAGCAGAGCGAGCGGAGCTGCGACGGGGTCCTGCATGAGCAGGAGCCGGGGCCTCGCACGGGATGCAGACTCCAGGCAGAGGGCAAGGGGCATTTGGGCACAAGGAAAAACGCCACCGCTACAGGTTTCGTGTTAGGCACGTGCTTGCAGCCTTGCCAGAGAAGATGGCTGAGGAGGAAAGCAAAATGTGTGATGTGAGAGAGTCCCGGTCCCAGCACACTTCCCTGCAGCACCCCTGCCTCGAGTCCTCGCAGCAAATCCGTGGCAATTAGCCAGCTCAGGATTGAATGGCGTTTGAAAAGCAGGCTAAGATCCTCGGATACGAGACGGCAGAGCGGTAGCTGCGCGAGACACGGCAGCGACAATGCTGCACTTGTATACGGGACCGGAGCGGAGGAAAGGATGGGTCACTGATTATAAGTAATAAATAAGACGCAGAAGGACGGGAGTCTTCCCACCTCCCAACCCCCTTTATTGTGCACATGAAAGATTGTAGCTTTTAATTATACAGACACTGAAAGCTGCTCGTACCCCCGAGGCATGGGGAGAAAGAGCCTTGAGCCTCTGATCTTTCTCACATCCTCCCAGTAGCCACAGTGCCAATTATTTTAATGGTAATTAAAAGCGTGACCGTGCAGCTCTCAAGCACACAGCTTTAGCTGCATTGCTGGGTTTTACTTAAGTGAGCTTCTCACTTCTGCATGGAGCGAGGTCCTGCATTTCAAAGAGAGAAGTGGAAGTTGTGTCTGGGCCGAAAGGTGATTTCCACAGGACGAACGTGAGGCCGGGGCTGCAGCCTGAGCAGAGATCATGACACCAGGAAAAGCCCACCAGAAGAGTGCAGTCAGCCAGTTTTGTTCCTGCTAGGTGCTGCTTGAGCCTTACCACACGGATAACTGAGGCGTTCCTTGCAGCAACGTCTTGAAACCCTTCCCCAGGTCAGCTGAACACTTGGTTGAACTCCACAGGTCCTTTGACCTGCTGCTTTCTGGAGGTAAATAAACTGCCTGGACTTACTCATTAGGTTTACCACCACTGACGGCTAATCAAAGACTTGAGGGGCACCCCAATCTTGAATGAGCAACCTGATGGGATTGTACCGATCTCGGGCGTTGCAGTAACAGCAAAGGCCTTGGCCTCGTCTGGGCAGCCAGCGCACCATCGTGTGGGAACGCAAGCTGCTGGCTGGGTACGTTAAACTGCTCACATCCACACTGAAGGAAAAGCAGATTTCCCCAATGACCATCACAGCATTAACGCAGAGTATGGGCATGCCTTCCGCCCCTGCACAGGTCACAGATCCAGCCTTGCGACGCGCT